CATGTTTGCTGTTGATTCGATAAAGAAAGCTTCTGTTATCAATCTCTCCCCCATTCACCCTGTGATATTAGACTTTAAAACTATCATCTTATCCCATCATATTGTATGGTTATGTTTAATTGCATACAGTGCTGTAGCTGAACTATTCTCTAGATTTCTTATCTTATTTGGGTTAACTATTCTATATTTTGCTAGGTTTTTATGCTCGGCTAGTCTGACTGTCCCTGTTCTTCTACTTTAACCAATCACTTCAGCAGGGTATTAGATAAAAAGAATCTAAAGTCAACATCGATCGATAAAACAAGGTTGGTTGTCACTCTCTCAACACATATGTTAAGTCCTACAGAAATACGTGTATTAGAAAAGGGATTAAATTTCAGTGTAGAGGTAGACAAGCTGAAACCTGAGGATGTCATCCCTAAAATAGAAATAGCATTAAATGGGATAGAAAAGTCAACGGCTGACGAAGTACGCGCACAATGTGCACTAACATTAAAATGACAAGAACGTAGAAAGCCTAACCTGACAAAACCAGAAATAGAGGCCCTAAAACACCTTAAAAATAAGAAGGATATAATAATCACAGGGTCAGACAAATGAAATGCAACAGTAGTATAAGACAAATCAGACTATTTAGACAAGGTGAACATTCACATACAAACAGGACCATATGAGGAAATTAATAAATCAATAGACACAGTTATAAATAAAGTTACGAAATCCACAGCGGAACTTATACGCCGAATGAGTGGTTTAATTGAATGCCCAAAACTAATAACCCCAGTAGGATGTAAGGTGTTGTTAAAGTTCATAAGTCAGTATGCCCTATAAGACCTATAGTCGATTTTAGAAATTCACCTACTTATGAATTATCCGAATATTTAGCCATGGTATTAAACCCCTTTAAAAGCCACTCGAAATCTACACTACTAAGTTCTTATGAACTAAAACATAGATTAGTTAATTTAAAATTAGATAATGAAGAAGAAATGGTTAGTTTTGACATTGTTAGTTTATATACACGTATACCAATAAATATGGATATAGAGGCAGTCAGAAACGAACTAATTTCTCACCAAGATCTCGAAATTAGAACGAAAGTGCTATTTGAGGACATAATGCTGGGAGTGCAGGTATGCCTGAACTCCACAGTATTTATATTCCAGGGTAAAATTTACAAACAAACTGGGGGAGTTGCCATGGGGTCACCAATATCCCCGACTAGGAGATATATTCATAAATAGGCGGGAGAACATAGCGATTAAAACGCTCAGTCCCACCCCAAAGGTATGGTGGAGGTATGTAGATGACACATTCACTGTACTTAGAAAACAGGACATAAATAGATTTTTCGAACGCATTAACTCGAAGGTAGAGGCGATTCAATTCACTTATGAATCGGAAAGTCAGGAAAGGGAGCTTCCATTGTTAGATTGCAACGTAAAAAGGAAAGAAGATGGGAAGCTAAACACTAGTGTTTACAGAAAACCCACACATTCAAACAGATATTTGGATTTTCGATCACCCCATCCTATGTCAGTGAAAATAGAATTGGTGAAATGTCTAAGTAATAGAGCACAAAAACTAAGCTGTACAGAAGAAAATCTAAGACAGCAAGTGAGGCATATAAGAGAAGCTTTGAAACTTGGTAATTACCCTGATAAAATAGTCAGAAAGTATGCAGGGAAATGTGAAAATAAAATAAATAATGATAGTGGTGATAGTAATATTAAAGACGATATGCAAGTCCAGTGTGCGTAAGACAACAGCAACAATAAGGAATCTAAATCATCAGTAGTAATTCCATACAAGGATGGAACCTCGGAAACGTTACGCGGAATTCTTAACAAGGAAAGAATAAAAGTGTCAATCAAACCCGCTAACTCACCTAGTAATAAACACTGTGTGTTAAAGCGTCCTGTGCAGCCCGCTAAACAGAACGATCTGGTTTAGCTTATGCCCTGAAATCACTTTCAAGTCAAACGCATAGGTCAAAGTAGAAGAACAGGGGCAGTCAGACTAGACGAGCATAAAAACCTAGCAAAATATAGATTAGTTAACCCAAATAAGATAAGAAATCTAGAGAATAGTTCAGCTACAGCACTGTATGCAATTAAACATAACCATACAATATGATGGGATAAGATGATAGTTTTAAAATCTAATATCACAGGGTGAATGGAGGGAGAGATTGATAACAGAATCCTTGTTTATCAAATCAACAGCAAACATGTGTAGTAGGAATGATTCAACACCTGTCCAGTTGGATATCTGTAAGATTCTACTATCCCTACAACGACAAATAGGAGAGAACAAAGAAAACTATAAAACTCAAGTTTCGAAGTCGTGTGATTGCGGTTGATATGATTATGGAGAATAAATTTTGTTCGAAACCTCGTCATCCAATAAATAATACTGTTTTACTGTGTGATAAATCTAATAAACAAACCAGTATTTAATTAAGTTATGTCAGAGTTTTCTGGAACGTGTAACACTTTCCAGAATGTCTGCGAGAATTCTCATTGCTAACTAAGGGATTAGGAACTTCAGCTGACAGTCACGGGAAGACAATATAATCTTGATTGTACATTAGGTAGTAAGTAGAGTCAATCGTCGAGTTCTTTGTTTTGTGCAGACTGAACTCTATCAGTCAGGTTTGTTATATGGCTACCACGCTAGGTGGCTTGATATCACGGTGCACTCTGAACTGTTCTCACCAAGGTGGGTGAAGGCAATCAACTGGAAGCCTTTGGTTCAGGTTTTATTCTTATTAGCACTCGTCAGCAAGGCTTTTCTGCAACCTTAAATGTAAGCATTGCAAACCTGATTGATACAGTTCAATCTGCACCAAACACTAGTTACAAACAAGTGTCCAATCAGATTATCCGATGCAATCCTACAGAAGTAGCACTGGTTCACACGGGTTCCAGTTTCAGAAGGGACATGTATTCCTTCAAGACAGTAGATACGCTTTGCTGAATGGTTGGTGCCAGTTAGCACAAAACTTAGGTCTAAGGCTTTCAGTCAATTGCCTCCAATCATCTAAGAAGACCATATAAGCACATTCTCAGTAAAATTATCTCTAAAAACTAGCTGAGTAAAAGATGTCAGTAGCCTAAGAATTTAACAATAACAATAATATTAATGAGCTGACATTAGTCAGAGAACTATTGGAAAACCCCGGAGTACTGGACAGCTGTTTCGTCCTAGCTCGGGACTCCTCATCAGTACACAACCACCAGGATTCGAACCCAGGACCTTCCGGTTACAAGGCGAGCTCGTATACCATTAAGCCCCTGGGACCCTACCCAGTGGTCCTTGAATTCTAACTTCTGCCAATTCACGACATACCGCGACCACTAGCCAATGTCTTCGGCGAGTATTTGTCCTCGCACTCGACCTGCTGCACCCTACTGGTCACGAATTCCCACTGGAACCCAGGTAACCACCTACCTGAATAGGGCATGTCGCCAGGTCCTGGGTTGGAATCCCGATGGGTGCGTACTGCTGAAGAGTCCCAAACTAGGACGAAACACCTGTCCAGTACTCCCACGTTTTCCAATGATTCTCTAACTAATGTCAGCTCATGATGAAATCCTAAAACCAAACAAATCTCTACAAACCAACACTTAAATACCAATAAGATGCTCACTGGAGACTGGCCCTGTTCAGGTGGGTAGTTACCTGGGTTCCAGTGGGAATTCGTGACCACTAGGGTGCAGCAGGTCGGGTGTGAGGACAAATACTCGCCAAAGACATTGGCTAGCGGTCGCGGTATGTCGTGAATTGGCAGAAGTTAGAATTCAAGGACCATTGGATCGGGTCCTGGTGGCTTAATGGTATACGAGCTCGCCTTGTAACCGGAAGGTCCTGGGTTCGAATCCTGGTGGTTGTGTACTGCTGAAGAGTCCCGAACTAGGACGAAACAGCTGTCCAGTACTCCGAGGTTTTCCAATGGTTCTCTAACTAATGTCACCTCATGATAAAATCCTGAAACCAATCAAATCCCTACAAACCAACACTTAAATAATATTAATATTGTAAATAACCTGAGAAGTTAGAGGTTACCGGGTAAAATTACTTTTCGTAAAAAGTCAAGTTTTATTCACACTAATTTCAAAGGTAAGGACGCAAAGTAAATGATTCAATACAGTCTCGATCAGAGTTTATACGACAGGGAAATTTCTCGTTTGATCGTGTTGCTGTACTACGATGAAGTTGACTGTGGGTAAGAAGGCTTATTTTAATGGAGATAATGTGAACTTTGTTCCTTAAACCTAGAATGCGTTTACAATGACATGAATTCTGCTGTTGCTAATACTCTACCAATGTACGTGATACTATTTCAGTAAAGGGGTATTAGAATTATAATGAAATGTATCGCTGAGGTTTGTGAGAAAAAGTACCCTAAACAATAACTAAATTAGATTTATCTTTGTTCTCATTAGTAGTAGTCGTGAAATAAAAGCTTAGTACATTGTAGATACGAAGAGATTTGTTACACGAAGTCTCATAGTTCATTAGAGGGCTGAAATACTGTCCAGACAACCAGACCGAAACAGTTAGTTTTCTTAAGGGATCATCCCCTCCATAAGCTTTTGACTAAACGTTTGAGCAACACATCAGTGGGATGAGCGTCAGGAGCAGCCTTCTCAAGGTTTCCGATGACTAAAATAGTTTCATAGTCCATTCGATCCTATCAAATTCTGGAGTTCCTGTACACCATAGGTTCGGCATATAGACCAACATGTCTACCAGTCGTGCCGTAAGCGCCATATATTCTCATCCGCCCTTTTAATTTTCGAAGAACGCCCCCGCAGCCTGAAGGTAGTTAGTAGGACTTACTTGGCAGAGGTATTTACTCAGATTACTAGTGGCAAACAGTACTTCATTCATCAGTTATAGTACAGTGCTAAACATATAGGTGTTTAGAAGTCTTCGATATGTAAGATTTAACGATGCGTCATTCAAATAAGCATTTACAGTTTAGCATAACTTACTTAAAATAGTCCCTGTAAGATAGCCCAATTCATTTTGCCACTTCAATTTACGTCCTGATAAATGTTTATTCAGAAAACTCATTTGTTTGGTTTCATTTAAAAATTCTTGTGATTGCTTCACTTCTTTCATTCGACTCGCATCAGAGTCAATCAACGGACCAATTAGAGGAGGACGTTCACGAGCAGAATAGTTTTGCAAGCCAGTGAAATATTTTAATCCATTTATAGTATCCAACTGAGGAATTCTTCGACGTATCCGTGATAGTGGAAGGATACTAACAGGAACATGATGAACAGTATAGATAGATCTCCCTGATCTACTGAGCGAATCGATGCTGTTGGTGTGATCTCGTTTAGTTAATTTTAACGAGTTATTCAGTAAATGATCTGTATAATAACTTGGTGATAAACCAATAGGAAAATTGGTACGTTTTAAATCAAGTGAATTGGATGTAATGCTTCTTGAAGGTGATGTGTAACGGTCGTGTGATGAAAAACCTGGATCATTGACAATTGGTACTGGTAGGCCTAAAAAACCTGTGAAATGTGTTACTCTCTGTGGATGAGGGTTATGACGTCCAGAATAGTCAGGAAGATAGTTTATTTCCTCATGATGAGAATTAGGCATCGTCTTTAGTAATAAAAAATAACAAGCCGATTAACTTGATCTGATTCAACTTTTGCTAACTTTGATCTGTAAGACACAGATTTGATATAATTGGTGAATAGTTTAAAATCAATCTATGCTTTGACATTATATTTTTTTTAATTCAATAACTTTTTTTTATTTAAAGGGTATTCACTGATAGATAATAGCACAGAGTATGTCCTTAAATTTTATGAAAAGTACAAAAATTAGTAGGTAAATGCAGTGAATACCAATACACTATCGATTTTTTAACTTTAATTGTCTTTATTATCTCTTGTATTTTGTTGATTATATCATCACTTAGAAGAGAAAGTTGACATTGACGTATGCATATGTATTGCAAAGATATGTTGCATATTGGCTCTAGTGGATATATTTTGTTAAAAACCAAAAGAAACACACTCGTTGTACCTGGAAAAACAGAAGTTATTGTGATCAATACTCGGTATTCTATAAAACGTAGTATATGATTGTTGAAGTATGATTGACTGTTTGGAGAATTCATAGACACGATTCCATTAAGAAGCCTGTAATTTTTAAAGCGAATCGGTGGTTATCTAAGACAATTCTATTCAGGTTTGATCACGGATCACTGAAAGCCAACAGTTGTTTCATTCTAGTTTGGGACTCGTAAGCAGTCCCCACCCACTGGAGTTCAGACCCACAACCTACCAATTATAAAGCAAGCTCGTGGGCTATACAGCCACCGGAACCCAACTCAATGACTAGCTCATGAACCCTAACTCCTAACAGTCCGTGATGTTAGAGCAAACCGCAAGCCATTATCCTCACTGTCAACAGAATGGGCCCCGATGGCCTGAACTTTTAACTAGAACTCCATTCAACTTTCACTCGTAGCCGGTCACTAACAATCATCCGTTTAATTTTTAGGGGTTAACTTGCAAGGATTTGGTTTGTTCTCAGTGTGATTATGGTTCGTGTGTGCGTGCGTACTGCCAATGACTCGCAAACTAGTGTATAACAGCGGTTCACTACTCCCTACGGGTTCTCAGTAGTTCCGTAACTGATATCAATACGTGATCACACTTGAAACAAAATGAAAAATCCTCACAAATTCATAGGAGTATATGGGTTTGAAATGGAACAAAGACAAAGTAGTAGAATGCCTAAAAGGGCCAGCGTTATTTTTCACGAAAAAAAACTTATTTTAGACAAACACGCATATGCCAGATTATTCGAAAAATCAATGTCAACAGAAGTGAGTACAGCAAATCTAATATTCAACTACTGAGGGCTTGAAAAGACTGGAAACTCTTTGACAACAGGTCTGGTTACTTTTGGAGAGAAACGATCGGTCTCTGATGACGTGTCTACGGATTAACGTGAAGTCATTTTGTATGGTAGATGTATTATCCAGTTACCAATATGTTCTAAATGCAGGAAAGTAAAACAGAAGGAGAACGTTCTTTTAATTCCCTGTGAGGAATTCAGTTTCAGCGGTTCAAATACTCATCTTCAGACAATTAGCAGAAGTTAGAATTGAAGGACCATTGGATCGGGTCCCAGTGGCTCAATGGTCTACGAGCTCGCCTTGTAACTAGAAGGTCCTGGGTTCGAATCCCGGTGGGTGCGTACTGATGAGGAGTCCCAAACTAGGACGAAACAGCTGTCCAGTACTCCGAGGTTTTCCAGTGGTTCTCTAACTGATGTCAGCTCATGATTTAATCCTCCATGAAATAGCAGTAAGTGAGTGTGGAAGATCTTGAGTGCATATTCGGTGTTTTACTACAGTGATTGATTAAAAATTTTGCTTATGTGTTCATGGAATATTATATTAGGATCAAGCTATTTATACATGTTGAGGAGACAAAATGATATAAAAAGATAAGAATGAAGAAAATTCATGTGAAAAATACATTTGAAAGGGATGTGCGGGAAGGAATTACACAATAAGTTGAATGAAAAATGAAAATTTGCGGTGAATAGTTCTAACTATAGTGTTCTGACAATTAAATATACGCCAATTATGATAAAAAGTGTTGCAGTCATACTCAAGCATGATGTATTTCGTTTTGTAAAAGTGAGCTGTCAGACAGAAGGGGGCGCAAATGAGTTAAGTAACCAGTAACTTCGTAAAGAGCTGTGTTGAATAGGTGTACAAACATGACTAAGTAGACAGTATTATGAAATATATCTATAGATGATGCTTTACTCAGATATGACATTTGAAGATCCGGCAATATAGAGCATGCTGACTTGCAGGATGCCATACAAATCTGTCTGGATCTCTTGTGGTCGTATCTAGGCTAGAGGCTGAACAAAGTCATTATTAAGATGCTAACAGAATGAGAAACAGGACCATTCACTGTCGTAACGAAGGAAGATAGGAGACTTGGTAATAGACCCTTTTACTGAGGAAAAACACACCATATTTATGCATTTTTTGTGATATCCTAAGCAGACTAAGAAATCTGTGCATGTTAATTATAACAACTGCCCTGTTTTACTTACTATCAAGTGTCATTCATTCACACAAACAGCTGCCTACAGCACATTCAGATATCTGTGTAGACTTTATTTCTCTTAATGATACACTTAGAATGACGTGCACAAGTGCAGTTAGCAACACTGTTAATACTGACTATTGAGTATACCAATATATGGGCTTTACATTTTGCAAAAACGTTGCATTGAATAGAAACATCGAGCTGATGACGGACACGGTGATCATGTATATAACGTGTTTATTCCAACAGCGTTTACAATAGTTGCATTGTTTCTTTAGTTCGCTACTTAAGCGAGAACCCGCGAAGAGGTGAGGCGGAAAGTATATAAGGAAACAACAATATATACATATATATAAATGAGAGGCGATGGGTCTTTGAAAAGATCTGTTTACAGATAATCTGAGTGCACAGGATAACTGACTGATTTTTACAGTTTTGTCGCCAAAGACAGAAAAAGGAGTCGAATCCGTTCTGTCTCAACACGAGTGTGGAGAATTTGTAGTGAAGATAGTGTAAATGATGAACTCAAACAACTAGAAGAAAACTTCATAGAGAATGGGTATCCACTCCGCTTTGCAAAGGCCAATACCAAATTACGTGGAAGATATACAGAGATTGGCAAGGCAGCTAAAATGTCTCGCACCTAAAACTTAGAATTTAAGGGTGACACTGCAAGTGAGATACTTAAAAATCGCCTGATGAGATCATTGAGAAAAAAATGTTCTTTGCCGGCACTTAACGAATAATATACTCTAGACATACACTGGTGCACCTTAATGTCAAGGGAATGTTACCTCGATTATCCAATTCGATGTGTATTTATATGCTCATCTGCTCTTGCGGAGCTAGTTACATAGGACGTCCGTCGAGAAACATATCTCGCCACGTTGGAGAGAACCTCCCAGTTTGGCTGAGCCAAGGAGAACGTAGAGGTATTAATTCATCGATATTGCAACATATTGTAGATACTGACCTCGCAGTATCTAACACATCGTTTAATATAGTCTACAAAGTCTAAAAAAGTTTTCCGGAAAGGGACACTAGTGCATTTGCTTTGTATCTCAGAGGCTTTGGACCTAAATAACATTTATAACCAGAACTTTGTGTACAAACGGAATTTATATGATCTTTCTCGTTAGCACAGTCATAGTCTTGATCTCATTATGTAATTCACATAAAAACTTTGTTATCCTTCTTTATTCTATGTTCCATTTTTGTTTTATTCCATTTCACTATATGTCATCATATTCTAACACTTTATCTAGTCCACTATTTTACTCATCCTATGTTTCCATCACATTATATTTACATATTTGCATTTCTGAATGTACTTTATTTTCTGATCGGCTATTTCACAGATGCTCTCTACTGAGCTTTAGGTTGACCTCAATTTATTCAGTTATTCATTCATATGTCTAATCACTTGTGACTCATAATAGTGTACACTAATATCGTTATAGCACTTTAGTATTTCCAAGCGCTGTCAAACCTTAACACACACAAGACAACTGATTGTTATTGTCTACTGTAATTCATTATATATACGATTGTACAGATGTGAGAATAAAATAGTTGAGAAGTGAATTTTCTTCACTTTATTCTCAGTTTTCATTTCTCAATGGGTATTATTAGTTTAAAATATTTTTACGAGTTGATCACGAAATATAAAGAAAGCATTAAGCGTTATACCTATAAATTATTAAATAGTCAGCGGAACAACTGGATCTCGTCTTTCCAACTCATATCATTTATAGGTACAAGGTTTTCTTTCTTTATTTTCTCTTTCTCCCTTTTGTCTTTTTTGTTGTTGTTATGTGCTGCTTTGTTTCTGTCTTCCTTGCAAATTCTATTTAAAACATTCTTCGTTCTTCCACACTCCGTACATCCTGACCTTTTTGTTATCGCTTACCCCAGTACATATGCTAGTATCTACTTTTCTAACACCTTCAAACATTCTGTTCAATTTTTGGCTTTGCTACCGGCATGCTAATATGTTTTTTTTTTCAAAACTATCCGAGATTACCCTTAATCTCTGTAGAACTTTATTTATTGTTAATGTACTAACTAGATGCAATACTGTAGTGAAATGCTGAGAATTCCATTCTATGTCACCAGTACTGTTTTGCAATAAAGCAAATAATTATTATTCAGGAAGACGTTCTAGTAAGAAGATGTGTGACCAATGAGGTCCATTCGGTTGAGAGAGTGAGGATAAGTACTCATCGATGACATTGGCTGGTGTCAGTGGCGCTAAAATCACGAATTGTTGGAGGCTAGGACTGAAGTCTGATCCCACTGGCTGAGTGGTCTACAGGTTGTGAGGTCCAACTCCAGTGGGTGGGTACTGCTTACGAGTCCCAAACTAACAGCTGTTCAGTACCCCCTGGTGGTTTTTAGGTGCTTATCTAACTGTGGTTACCAATTCGTGATCAAAGCTGAAACGAGTTGATTGCCTGAATGCTTTGAAGATCTAAAATATATAGATCTAAAAATATTCATCCTACCAGTAGAACACAGTATGAAGTATTCAAAATGATGTGAGGGAGAGGAAAACTATATCCATCTAAGTAAATATCTACATCGAAACTGAATAATTTGTAGGCTGTCTGTAGTTTTCCAGCTGAATTGAGACAGATAACTAGACACTAACTAGACAACAAAAAACGTT